AGTAACCCATCTGCTAGCATCCTCACCAACCTCCCCTCGAGTTCCCGCCGTCCTTACTCCATTTAGGTGACGCCCACTATCCTTGGGATCTCAACAGACATGCTCACGCTCAAACTCTCACAACCGGTCATAGTTGGCGGCTGGTGCGCTTACTACAATTTCAGCCACTTGCCCCCCTCCTAGTGAGCCAAGCATCAGCTGGTCCATCCGTAGGCTGGCACTTAGACCCGATTCTGAAGACTGCAGGGCAGGAGAGTTCAGTGATCGCGCATTAGCCCAGTCTCCCGGCAGGTATAATCTTTCCCTCTCTGACGTGCACATCCCGTTGTTGCCTAGTGGAGGTCACTAGCGGTTAATGGAAGGCCAAAAATTCGGGGTTTTTCGCCGCGTTGCTACAAGCAATGTTGTTGAAACTTTTGCGAACAAACTATGCAGGGTCATAATACAAACATCAAAATACCAATTCGGCAAAAAAAAAAACGAAAAAATCAAACTCAAAAGCACTATAAATCCCTATTCGGAGTAGCTTTCGGAGTTCGCCAAAGCTTTTTTCGAGTCTGGTGTTTTTGCTAAGTTTTTTGTTACTGCTTCAAATACGGCGAAACTGAATACAGATATACCCTAAAGCACATATATAACAGGCAAAAAGAAAAACTGAGAAAATAGTAAAAATTCAGGGAAATATGACAGTTTCGGTGAAAAATTCGCCAAAATTCGCCAAATTTTGGGCCTTCCATTAACCGTCTCTTGTGGAGGCATGTTGTTAACTGCTGCTATACCCGTCATCAGCCGAACCATGAATGAATCTTCCGGTAGAATATGGAAATATACGCTGTTCCCCAGCTACGCACACAGCGAGATGGCAAGGGGCTTCTTTGAGCGCCAGGATGACCAACGTACCAGCCCAACCAATCTGCTACTCGCCTTATGCTACCCGGATCGACAGGACGAGCAACACATCGGCGGCCAACCGGGTAAGTCTCCAAATCCGCGGCTTTCACCTTCGCTACTTCCATCGAAAAGGTGAGCAAGATCAAACGAATCTTTTGCCACAAGTCAAAGAAATATATCTCTGAATCTTGCCTCAAATCCCGGACAAATACACGCCCGATGCTACTATCTTCCCCACTCGCCCTGCTGATTCGCCGTGCAGCCCATGATGAGGTCCATATCACCAAAAACGCTACCTTAAGCCAAATTCTATCGACGCCATCATGTTCGCAGTAGTCTTAAGTCCCGAATCACCCTCCTCCTTCGCCTGATTGCTTCAAGTATCGATGGAGACACCCTGCCTCTTGATCACACCGTATCTGCTCCTTGACACTTTTGACCGCCATTATTCTCTTCTAACTCCATCCTTACCTGTCCCTCTCTAATTCTGACCACGGATCCGAAGTCGCCATGGCCCAAACCCCTGTCTCTGTTTTATACTTTACTCGATTTCATCATGATTCGGGTGAGATCTTCATTTCTCCTCCTTTCAACCTCGACAGCTCCATGCAGTCCATTTCTCACATTCCGACAAATCTATCCACTAACATAAAAAACTGACCTCATGATCTGACTCGCAACTACTGAAAACCTCTACTTAGTATCTTTTCCCGCTAAATTTCGCTAAGAATTGAGGGAGATGACCGAACCTTGCCTTCCACCATATCCGCCTCCGTCATCTCCCGCGGCTCCTTCTTCTTCCCTCTATCCTACTAACTTTCTCCTAAAACTAAACTCATAATCGAGGTTGCCCGCCCCTAAAATCATGAAATAGCATCTTCACTTGCGCGTTTTCATCAAGAAACGGGCAAGTTTATACGGACTTTGCTCCGGCCTCACCATCCTTTCCTCCATCTCCGCTCTGCAATGCATCTGGCGCACTTTCCCCCCCTAGGTTCATCCTCTCGTCACTGCGCCCTGCCTCCGGCTCACTCCCGCCTTTTCTATTGATGCAAACTGCGCATAAAGCCCTACGCCACTCCTCCGACCGGTAGCAATTAGCAACACGGCGGCCACAGGAGGCGAGATCTGCTGGGGAGTAGGTGCCAACTCCCCTGCAGACTCGGCCCGCCCCGAACGAACAACTTTGCAGCGCCCGGCATATGCCCGGCCGTCGTAGCCGCTGCTGCGCTCTTCCTGCGCTATCCTTGCCTGTGTGGCCAGTCTTGTTGCTGTGTAGCAGAACCGCCCACTGTACACAGCCAGTGCCACAATGCTCGGTGACCCAGACACTATAGGCTATACCAGTTACTACAGACAGCAAGACGGTGGCCGTGGAAGCCAATATCCACTTGGAGTGTGTAACAACTCACCAACCGAATCAATCAGCCTTGATCGTATGGCACTGCAGCACATGGCTCCTACATTGCTGCCTGCGAGAGGGCACAGGGCCTGCTGTGACGTGAGCTAGGTACAGTGGATACCGATGCAGATCTTGGTGGTAGTAGCAAATATTCGAATGGAACTTCGGGTCTAAGCAGGGAAGTATCCCATAGGAATTTCTGTTGGGACGGCCCTGCCACACAACCAAATGTGTGGCCCCCGCCCACCGGCGTCCCACTGGCCCCGCCCAGCTCAGGCATAGTTCACCATCTTCGGGCCCCGACGGGCATGCTCATACTCACGCCGCTCACAACAAATGGTGGGGGTGGACGGTCCACCCGCAGCGATCCCCGACACCTTCGGGCTGCAGTCCCACAGGCCCGCTCGGAGTGCTCTCCAATTGGGAAACGGGAGAAGCCACGACTACGAACCCCACCACTCTCACTCACGTTGACCTCTTCGGTCCGTGCTCCGAGGCGGGTCGGATTTTGTCAAGGCCCCAATCACGCCGGAGTCTCGATGGGCCTACCCAAGGTCTCCGACTGCCGTATCGGCCACTGTACCCGGCGTTGGCCTCAGAGCCGATTACCAGCAAATGCGGGCGTGACAAAAAATAATAATAATAAACGGAATAATGAATAAAAATAGATGCGGGGGAACAAAATGGAGTAACGGGCCGAGGGGCCGCGCGCCCCTCTTGCCCGCGACGCCGCGCATACCCAGGCCGCGCATGGTCGCGCCTTGCCGTCAGTACCCCGCGCTCACCGCTCGCCCGGTTGAGGACCAAGGCTTCCTCTCGCGCGCGCGCCATCAGACGGACGAGGCTGCACTAGTGCGATTTGCAGAAAACACGCCAAATACCCTTGTAAGGGTATTTGGTACGACAACGTGGCACTCTTATCTCGTGAAGACCATGAAGACAACAACAGATTACGGTAACGACGTCAACCCCAGGTGAGTACCCGATCCCAATCATCCACAGATCCCGATCTCCCTCCTTGTCGCAACCAGTCACCTCATGTAGACAGCGTGGCCAATGCCACGCTAGCTATAGAGACAGGTGGCATGCGCCACATCAGCATGAAGTCAGGTGGCAACGCCACATTAGCAATGCAACATAGATGGGTGGCAGCGCCACATCAGCATTGCAGTGTAGACAGGTGGCAGCGCCAGATCAGCAATGTAGTCAAGTGGCCTGTGCCACATCAGCAATGTAGACAAGTGGCCTGCGCCACATCAGCCTTGAAGACAGGTGGCAGCTCCACATCAGCAATGCCTGGCGCACAACACAGAAAGCGCCAGCATGCTGTCTCAGCCCCGCGTCGTCGTCCGCAGTGCCTGCGCACAGCCAGCTTCGAGCCAGCGTCTTGCCAGCGTCAATGCCAGCGTACAGCCAGATTAGAGCCAGCGTCCAAGCAGCATAGCAAAACTGAATGACTGAATGTCAAACTCCTGAAGACCAGCCCTTAAGTAGCATTTGACGAGGCTGTCTGGTCTTGGGTCCCTCCCCCACAGTCGTCCAGATTGACTCACAGCCGAGGGCCTGGATGTGTACAGTTGCAGACCTCCCCTTCGCCCTGATGCTGTCTGGGTGCCTGCATACAAACAAGTGTGCGTTTCTGACCGGCGGCCTGGGCTGGGTACACTTTGACTTTGACTGTTGGATATCCTACAGTTGACTTTGGTCAACTGTAACTCGCCCAGGCCCTGAATTCTTATGTGGGGTTCTTTTGGCCCTTCGGCCTGGGTGTGAGTGTGGCCTGGTAGCCCTCAGACTTTCCACGAGGCATATAGCATGGGTTTTATTGCATTCTTCTTCTTCTTCTTCTTCTTCTTCTTCTTCTTCTTCTTCTTCTTCTCCTCCTCCTCCTCCTCCTCACCACTACATGTGCAAGTCTATCCCCAGTCCGCATTGTCTGTGGGGCGTGCCGTGCACGCATTCCTTGGTCTGTGCATTTGATTGAGTCTTCCGCTGTGCTCATATCACACCCTTCCTCGTATTATTTTCCTCAGCTGTCCAGCAGGTCCTCAGGTTACCGGACATCAGGGCCTATAGGACTTGCTGGAAAGTCGTCCAGACCCATCAAAATTTACCCTTCCGGCCCTCTGTCCATAGCTTGCCTATCTGTTCCTCAAGCCGATCTCTTTTCTGTCCTTCTGAAGTTTCCAATTTCACAGATATGCCCCTACCAAGACACAGATGGACATTATGAGACAAGTGAGTACCTCGAGATACAGATATAACCATAACTTCATAATTAAAAAGAAGGATGCAAATTTCCAGCACACGCAAGCCAAAACACAACAAACTCAGAAATCTTCTCAGTGACAATTCAGCAAAAGTACCGGCTTCCACATCAGCACACAACCTTCTCAGGGTGAAAACTCCATTGGTTACTGTGCAACGTAAAGCCTGCATGGGGTTTTTGTTGGTACAACACGACCAGCAGGGGACATCCGTTAAAACTTAAGACTGGAACAATACAGAGAAGGAAGATTAGCATGGCCGCTGCAGGCAAGGATGACATACATAAATTGAGAAATGGTCCGGAAAAATAAAATAAAATAATATATATAATATATATAATATTATATATATATATATATTGTCACATAACTATGAACTAAAAGAGCACAATTTGCGAAACAAACGAATCATTCGTGGTTTTGGATGTTTCTGGTGGCAGGAAGCTGTATTGTGTGGACACACTGGGGCGGCTTGTGGAAAGTAGCTTGTGCCCAGAGACAGTTCAAGAAAATAGGACGTGCAATGAGGTGCAATGTGGAGATTCCTATTGGTGGGGAGGGGATTGGGATAGATGTTCCGCAACCTGTGGAGGTGGAACAAAGAAGAGGGAAGTTGGGTGCTTTAAATCAAATGGAGAACCAATTGACAAGGTCTACTGTACAGGCGCCCCAAACAAGCCTGCTGACGAGCAAGCGTGCAATATAAGTGTGAGAAAATATCTCCCAGTCTCTTCATCTTACCATCTTAACAGCAGCAAGCTTTTTTTTTTCTTCTTCTTTTTGTTTTCCTTTTTTCCCCCACCATATTAACAGCAGCGCGTAGTCTGTGAATCCTTGAAATTTCAAAACCCTCATTTGAAACTTAGCCAGTCTAAAAGTGTTCATATTACTTCATAACCCTTGGTATTCAGAAGTGGGCTGAACATGTTCAACTCTATGGAAAGCCTGATTGAGTTGGCAACATTTTCAGGCGTAAACATTTCCAGTAAAAATCTCTCTCTCTCTCTCTCTCTCTCTCTCTCTCTCTCTCTCTCTCTCTCTCTCTCTCTCTCTCTCTCTCTCTCTCTCTC